CAAATTCAGGGGTACTATCTCAGTCACCTTCTTCTGTTGTTGCTGTTGTTGCTGCTGCTGCTGCTGCTGTTGTTGTTGTTGTTGTTGTTGCGGTCCTTCTGACAAGGATTCTCGTATTTGGGGGTCTGTATTGGGGTTCCCCTATTTTGGGAAACCGCCAAATGTGTCCCTGTATCTTCTTGTCTATTCCTGTAATCTAATCTAGTCAGCCTGGGCAGGGCCTGACGCAGCTCCTGTGGAGGTGGGCGGCGAAAGATTATATGTCAAGATGGGTGCTGCTTGAGAAATCTTAGGGATACAGGGATTCTAGCAAGATGCTAAACAGCATATTTTAAGTTCCATGTATGGATCCTAGTTGCCTTTGAGCAGTAGGAGGATTTGGGGATCTTTCATTTTATCCCAGAAGATTACACTGAGCTTTCGATGTCCAGGAGCCGCCCATGAATCCACCTAAACCCTAAACCCTAAACTTTGGGGACTGCACAGGAGCCACGGTCCAAAACTGGCCTGAAGCTCATTGGAGAAGAGGCGCCTCCGTATTCTGGCTGCAACCAGCCTCTAGGGTTTAGGGGTTTAGGGTTAGGGGTTTAGGGTCTAGGGTTTAGCATCAGGGCCTTACCTCAGAGTTTCCAGGAATTAGGGGCTCCTTGTTGGGGATACGTATAATAAAAGTTGTGGTAATTTGGGTCCATTTTTTGGGTTCCCCTATTTTCTCACCTGGGAGGCCCAGAAAGTTGCGACTCATTGAGTAGCCACAGTGCAAACCATTCTTGAGTCCCACAACTGTAGATACCAATCGGGTGCCATTCAGTTTATAAAGTGGGCATAGATTACAAACTGAATTGAGTAGTGTTTTATTTATGGGGTACAATGGTATCCAATATAGATTGAGATTATATCCTCCTTTTGGGGTATAGTATCTTATATAAAGAGTATAACCTTTCTGGGTCTAACCACCAAAATTGGACCGGAATCTGGCTTGATCGAGCTTTCATGAAACACGGGTCTGGGTAGACGGCACAAAGACTGTGGTCATTTTTTGGACCGCTGCAATGTCACATGCTTTCGTTCTGCCATCTGACGAGTTTTCAGCCTGGAGTTACTTTGGCTTGTGCACATCCATTGCCATCAGAAGCGGGGATCATCTGGGAATGCCGGACAACAAGGGACTCAACGAGCAGCAGCTTGCCTGTTGCTGTATACTTTTGTTGGGTCCTTCAGAGACAGGCTTAAATCAGCTGCGGCGTCTACAACGCTTTCATCCAACAGATTCAGCAGCATCCCCCTTGACAAGTAGACCTTTAGGCAACATGCCTTTTGCACTTAACAACGACGGGACTGTCGTGCGTACTATGAAACAGGCTTGCGTTGCATGCGTTGCTTTGCAAGAAGTATTTTCATTTCATGGGTAATTTGTATACTTTTACCCAATAATGGGAAATCAAATGGAAACTGCAATGGAAACCCTAGGACCTATCCCTGCCCGATTTCTGACCCAAGAACCCCAAGGAAACCGCTAGGGGCGTGGGATGGAACCCCGGACCCTTTATCCCACTACTTCATATACCTCATATATACTGCTCGCATATCCATTATATGCGTAGGTGACGAGCATATCACCCCCAACAAGCTACGAAGGCCCCCCCAATTAAGTGGTCTTGCACTGAGGACTCTTCCCTGGCAATATGTTGCGCACTCAGATTTTCCAGAAACCCGCAACTTTGAAGTATCTCACCCGACCTCACCTTAACGGTGGTTTGTATTCTGTACGTGTGTACACATATCTGTCTATGTATATGTATATACACATATACATATGATTATTATATAAATGAAGTTAAGTTCAGGCTCTGAAATGTTTATAGCATGGCCATGATAGCGAGATCCATCCTTCCTTACGTTCCGCTCATACGAGCTACGGATGAAAGCCAGGATTTGGTGAGGACCTACAGGCAACGTATAGGGATTCTAGGGGGACCTATTATTGTAGATATAGCAACTCTAGTCCAAGACTCATGTGGTATCCCTTTTTGAGGTTTGCCTCAAATCCTAAATCCTCAATCCTAAACCTTAAGTCCTAAACTCTATAAACCCAGGAAGTTGGGCGTCAATGCGGCTGCTATTGCTGGGGTTTTGGATGGGACGCCAGCTTGTAAGGGTTCTGTATGTGGTCTCTACCCAACCCTACTGGATGCAGTATTGGTCGGACAAAGGTCCGAGAGCGAAAAAACTCTAAACCCTATAGTCCCCCTTAAGTAGATAGAATATGGGGTATATGGGGATCTTATTATGATATACCCAAAGCCATATTCTATCTACTTAAGGGGGACTATAAACACAGTCAGCCTCAGCTTCAGAAACCCAAAGCTCCCCACAGCCCTGAGCTTCAGGCATGGGGTTGACAGTGACTCAAGGGTTAGGGGTTTAGGGCTAAGGGTTTAGGGGTTTAGGGGGGTTTAGGGCTTTGGGAGGGGATAGGATTCAGGGGTTGACAGCGACTTTTTTATGTTACTACTGATTCAAAATCAAAGGGGCAAGAACATGGGAAATGAACTGGATGCCCCAGTGCCCTTCCCAGGGGTAGTGAGGATGTAGAGGGACGTTACACCAATGATGGAAAATGACCTGGAACCTGCAATGGCAACTGTCATTTACGGTTTAGGGTTTAGGGTTCAGGCTAATTTCCTTCTTCCCCTTAGAGGCCACCAGAAATTGGAATGATGAGTGGCTGCAGCCTGGGCTAGACCACCTCTTTAGTCCTAGATTCCTTGTACATGAACGGATTAGGGTACCTCAAGTAGACCTCAAAATTATCTTGGCACGTTTTCAGGTTTCTGCATTCCATAATCGTTTTACACGGCCACTGCAAAATTGTAACTTTTCCATTTTTTCCTTTTTCTTGCGATTTGATTCTCTACCATTGGACTTTTTATGTCCTTACACCCATTCTGCTGTCGGAGTCCAAGGCAGAAGCAGGCAAGTTGAATTGATCGGAGAGGTTTCAAGCTCGTATCGCTAAACTTGGCTCTAATCCAACCCAGCTTTCATTGTATTTTGCATTTCTTCTCCATTTGTTTATCCATTGTTGGGGTAATATCCCTAAGCTCGAAAATTTACGTCCTAAATTCAACACTCAACACCCTAAACGCTGTACATACTCCTCAAAAACATGAGCCCCTCTACAATATTTAGACCTCATCAACTGGTAGTTACTGTAAATAGAGGTCCCCAATTAAGACCCCAAATGCTTTTGCCCAGATCAATCCCAAAATGGCACCCAATTTAGGGAAACCCTAAACCCTAAACTTTATCTACCCCCCTTTAAAGGGACCCATTTTTAGAAAGCCACAAATGTTTTGAGCCTCTGAGGTGGTGAAGGATGAGACGCGTCGTTGCTTCGTTGGATTTCTCCCTCGAACACTAGGCAGAAGATGATGAACTTGAGGAAGAGAATCCCTAAACTCCTGAAATGTAGGCTTTAGGGGCTGAGGATGGATTTAGGGTCTAGGGTCCTCTACCCTAAACTCCTAAACCTCCTAAACCCTATACCTTGACCTATACCCTCTTCAACACCTTGAGCCCAAGAGCTGCGAGTTCCGTGCAGGTAAAGATGTTTGCGCCACTTTTTTCGAGAAGGCTCTGCAAGGTGCAGCCAGAAGCTTTTGCTGGATGTACTTTGCCAAATGGTTTAGGGTTTAGGGTTCAGGGTTTGGGGTTTAGGGTTTCGGGTTGAGGGTTTAGGGTTCAGGGTTTAGGGTTTGGGGTTTAGGGTTCAGGGTTTAGGGTTCAGGGTTTAGGGTTTGCCAAACTT